TTTTCATCATTTTCTCCAATTTGTCAATTTGTGGCAAAATAGTGGTCCGGAAGTGATAAGTACCAGGAATTTGGCCAAAGCCAGAGCCCGGCACTACACAAATACCCGCCTTTTCCAGTAAAGTCATCGCATAGAAAAAGTCTGCTTTCTGTCCCCTCTCTTCGGCCGCTTTAATAGCTTTTTCTGGCAAAACAATTCTGGGAAAGGCATACATAGCGCCGGCCACTGGATTGGACACTATTCCTGGTATCGAATTAAACGTATCGGCTGTCAGTTTAGCCCTCAATCGTAGAGATTCTAAGACTTCTTCCTTTTCTTTAATAAACGTCTCATAAGAAGGCGATCCAATGGCAGGCGGTTTCACCACACAATCCATCGCTATTTGGCCTAAAATGGATGAACAGAGTCGGGCGCTCAACATCTTCAAGAACATGGCCTTCACCTGAGCATCAAAATTAGAGATCTCTAAATATCCGCCCCGAAGACCGCATTCGCCCATAAAACCTATCATTATATTTTGTAAAGACATTAATTTACAAATTACAATTAAAAATACATTAATTCAATTAAATGTAATGTAATAACAAACCTTTGGAAGCGCTCATCATTGACACCAATTCAAGTCTTATGCCTAATTCATGCATTACTTTCTTAAATGAGTAAAACTTTGCCCCATTTTTCCAGATATTGTGCTGATATACTTCGTCAGCAATTATTATTAAATTGTTTTGTTTTGCAAAACGAATAATATCTTCAATATTATGTCGGGTGAGTACAGAACCGGTTGGGTTTCCCGGGTTTATCACAACAATCGCTTTGGGTTTGCAGTGACTCTTGGATTCTTCGTAAGCGCGGCTCAATTCGTCGATATTAAGCGCCCATTCGTTTTGTTCGTCCAAATAATATGAAATCAAATGCATTCCCAATTCACAAATGGTAGCCGAATATAATGGATACTGAGGTATGGGAACCATAACACCCGTCGGAATGCCATCAGTTGAGCCCGAATTGATAAATGAAAGCATGGCTTTTGCGCCCTCAGAGGCACCCGTAGTGAGAAAATGGTAGCCGAATATAATGGATACTGAGGTATGGGAACCATAACACCCGTCGGAATGCCATCAGTTGAGCCCGAATTGATAAATGAAAGCATGGCTTTTGCGCCCTCAGAGGCACCCGTAGTGAGGACTACGTTTAACCAATCGCTTGGTATTCCATCTCTTTCTTCAATATATTCAGCGACATGTCTTCGGATGATTTCCACTCCAGAAGCGTCAGAATATGCGCCCACAGATCTGCCACCCAATCCATCTAATAGTAAAGTCACCCTTTGCTTCACATCTTCGGGTATATCTGGGTTTGAAAGGCATTGAGTGGGACTCAAAACTCCTGACAACACTTGTCTGTAATAAACACATGCATTACATTCACATTTAGTTTAACAGTAAGTGTTGAACGAATGGTAGATAAATTTGAACCATTCATTACATATGAAACAAAATTAAATACTATTGATAATACCTGAAGAAAGTGAGTGGTTGTTGATTCATGGCATGACAATCACCGATATTGGCGCGAATCACTTCATCAAATGGCTTCTTAACACCCGATTTAAGCTCTTTCTCTAATTCTGTAGAAAATGGTAGCCGAATATAATGGATACTGAGGTATGGGAACCATAACACCCGTCGGAATGCCATCAGTTGAGCCCGAATTGATAAATGAAAGCATGGCTTTTGCGCCCTCAGAGGCACCCGTAGTGAGCACTATGTTTAACCAATCGCTTGGTATTCCATCTCTTTCTTCGATATATTCAGCGACATGTCTTCGGATGATTTCCACTCCAGAAGCGTCAGAATATGCGCCCACAGATCTGCCACCCAATCCATCTAATAGTAAAGTTACCCTTTGCTTCACATCTTCGGGTATATCTGGGTTTGAAAGGCATTGAGTGGGACTCAAAACTCCTGACAACACTTGTCTGTAATAAACATATGCATTACATTCACATTTAGTTTAACAGTAAGTGTTGAAAGAATGGTAGATAAATTTGAACCATTCATTACATATGAAACCAAATTCAATATTATTGATAATACCTGAAGAAAGTGAGTGGTTGTTGATTCATGGCATGACAATCACCGATATTGGCGCGAATCACTTCATCAAATGGCTTCTTAACACCCGATTTAAGCTCTTTCTCTAATTCTGTAGCCCTGATAGGTATGGCTCCTCTGACCGCGTACTCCATTGTACGGATTCTTTGATTCATTGAATCCAAACTCAGCAAACAATCGCTTTCATTATTATTTGAACTCATTTTGAACCAAACAATTAATTTCAAACTTTTCAATCAAAACTGTTCTTTAGCTTAAAATAAAAGGATCTGAAATCAAAATTGACTGAAATTACAAACAAATACAGTTTGAATGATGAAATTCAGCATAAATTGAGGCAATTATTCTCAACTCTATTACTGTATATTCTATTCAATTAAATCAATGATTGATTAAAATATGTTGAATACAGTTTAGTTAATAGAGGATAAGTTGAACGACAACCTTGTGTTATGTAATAATTAGAAAAGTGGTTCATTACATAAGAATTGTGTGAATGAAATCGTTTCAAACTCCGATCACATCTTACGATAGTTAGAGTGAAGGACACAAGTGTTGGCGAGAATACGCAAAATCGCAAAACATTTGTATGAAAATTGAGTCGAGTTTTACTTTTTTACTAAAGAGAGCGGAATCTAAACGAAAATCTCTATTTTCATTCACTATTTATTCGTCAAGTTTTCCACAGTATATGACATTTCAAATTCTATTTAAAACAATCAAATTCAGAATAAGCTTACTAATTAACCTTCATCATTTTTAACCTATTTTTAATACTATAATATTAGACATTTAAAAAATTCTTATGTTATTGCTTATATAAAGACATCATTTTACAGTTAATAAAATAATATTCTAATAATAATTGTTAATAAATTGGCGATATATTGAAGTTTGACAATAATTTTACAAAACCTACACTTAAATGAAAAGTAATTTTGGTTGTCATAAGAATCATAGACAAGGATTTTAGACTTAAATAGACTTTAGGAGAATTACAAGCAATAACTAGAAAATACATGTAATGTAATGTACGGTAATATTATAATTTATAATATTGTTAGATTGCATTAAATTCTTTGAGCGTTCTTTTAATTCACACGAGTTTATTTGAAACAATTTGACGTCTATAGTACTGTACAGTATAGACTCTATACAAGCATATATCATACATGTACTGTATCGCTACCAATGGATAATTTTTAATTATCAATACTATTAATAAATTTATGATAAGAAAGTTGTCGACTTAAACATATTTATTAAATATGACTTAAATTATATAATTTTTACAAGAGTTTCAGTTATTATTAATTATTATATTTTTATAAATGCTATTAAAAGGCAAATTCATTTTATATGTTGTATTATTAATCAAATCAGTCAAATAAATATGAATCAATTAACATATTTACAAAAACCCAAGTATATTATAAGACAAAAATATATGATAAATACAAAAACCATTAGAAGTAATACATTCTCAGACACAAGGATTGGCGGACTCAGGGAAGCGGACGTCAGCGCATCCATGACTCGGATGTTTGAGTTGTATTTGAAATATTCTTCCAGTTTTGCCGCAAACGCATAACAAATTTTATTTATAGATACAAATGAAGGGTTTGGAAGCGATTGGTTTCGTATCGTTTGTTATACTAATTCTTGTCATATCAATACTGACGACAATAACAAATCTTATAATTATATATAAACTGAAATTATTCCCAGACATGGAATTAATGACATTTATTAACGAAAATGTCTTATTTCATGGAGAGGTTGATCTCGATAGAGTGCTTCTTTCCAAGAGTCAAATCAATGGTTTGTTTTAATTAACGTTTTAAGTGAAATATTTATTTTAAACCATTATCGCTATTAATGATAGGAATTTCAACTATTTCTGGAGACTTAATACTAGAAAGCGGTTCCTCTGCTATCAATATCAACGACAATGGAATACAAATTACATCCGATAATGGCTTTGAAGTTCGGGCCAGAGATAGCAATAAACTTATATTTCCCATAGATTTCCGGTCGCTTTCAATCCCATCGCTGCCCTCACTATCACTTCCGGGCGGAGCCAAAAATGTCAACAAAATAAGATCGCCTACAGATCAAGACCTTAACATTCAATCGCACCATAAGATTAAGATTCGCGGCAATGAAGGCATCGATATAGAGAGCAAACGAATCGAAATGAACGCCTCGTCTATATTCTTGTCGTCTATAAACGGTGTGATTATTATGGACTCAAAAGAAGGCATTCATATCAATATGAAAACATTCAATGGAATCGTTGACAGCACTAAAGATAACGCGGAACAGCTCTCGGAAAAGAAATTGCAGCACAACAATACGCAAACGCCGTTTTGACCTTCTTATAAAGTTTATGTTGAGTTTGTAGGCTCAGTACCTACGCGACTGCAGGCGAAGGGACTCAGGCGGTTAGGAACACAGACTCTTACATAATGAAGATTATGTTTTTGTATTTATCATATATTTTTGTCTTATAATATACTTGGATTTTTTGTAAATATGTTAATGGATTCATATTTATTTGACTGATTTGATTAATAATACAACATATGAAAAGAATTTGCCTTTTCATAGCATTTATAAAAATATAATTAATAATAACTGAAACTCATGTAAAAAATTATATAATTTAAGTCATATATAATAAATATATTTAAGTCGACAAGTTTCTTATCATAAATTTATTAATACCATTGATAATTAAAAATTATCCATTGGTAGCGATATATGCTTGTATAGAGTCTACAGTGTAGACTCTACACTATAGACGTCAAATTGTTTCAAATAAACTCGTGTGAATTAAAAGAACGCACAAAGAATTTAATGCAATCTAACAATATTATAATCTTACCGTACATTACATTACATGTATTTTCTAGTTATTGCTTGTAATTTTCCTAAAGTCTATTTAAGTCTAAAATCCTTGTCTATGATTCTTATGACACCAAAACTACTTTTCATTTAAGTGTAGGTTTTGTAAAATTATTGTCAAACTTATCGCCATATATCGCCAATTTATTAAAAATTATTATTGGAATATTATTTTATTACCTGTAAAATGAAATCTTTATATAACCAATAATATAAGAATTTTTTAAATGTCTAATATTATAAATAATATTAAAAATAGGTTTAAAATGATAAAGGTTAATTAGTAAGCTTATTCTGAAGTTGATTGTTTTAAATAGAATTTGAAATGTCATATAAAGTACAGCACATGTCATAAACTGTAGAAAACTTGACGAATAAATAGTCAATGAAAATAGAGATTTTCATTTAGATTCCGCTCTCTTTAGTAAAAAAGAAAAACTCGACTCAATTTTCATACAAATGTTTTGCGATTTTGCGTATTCTCGCCAACACTTGTGTCCTTCACTCTAACTATCGTAAGATGTGATCGGAGTTTGAAACGATTTCATTCACACAATTCTT